AGTTGGGTTTGAGGAACCTCAGTTGGGTTTGAAGAGTCTCAGTTGGGTTTGAAGAGCCTCAGTTGGGTTTGAAGAGCCTCAGTTGGGTTTGAAGAGTCTCAGTTGGGTTTGAAGGTTCTCAGTTGGGTTTGAAGAGTCTCAGTTGGGTTTGAAGAGTCTCAGTTGGGTTTGAAGAGCCTCAGTTGGGTTTGAAGAGTCTCAGTTGGGTTTGAAGAGCCTCAGTTGGGTTTGAAGAGCCTCAGTTGGGTTTGAAGAGCCTCAGTTGGGTTTGAAGAGTCTCAGTTGGGTTTGAAGGTTCTCAGTTGGGTTTGAAGAGTCTCAGTTGGGTTTGAAGAGCCTCAGTTGGGTTTGAAGATCCTCGGTTGGGTTTGAGGATCCTCAGTTGGGTTTGAAGATCCTCGGTTGGGTTTGAAGAGTCTCAGTTGGGTTTGAAGAGCCTCAGTTGGGTTTGAAGAGTCTCAGTTGGGTTTGAAGAGTCTCAGTTGGGTTTGAAGAGCCTCAGTTGGGTTTTCAGAGGGTTCGAAGATCCCAGTTGGGTCCTTGAAGGGTTTGAAGAGCCCCCGGTTGGGCTCTCAAAGGGATTGAAGATTCTAGTTGGGTTCTCCAAGGGATTGAAGACTCCAGTTGGGTTCTCCAAGAGTTGGAAGACCCCAGTTGGGTCCTTGAAGAGTTTGAAGACCCCAGTTGGGTCCTTGAAGGGTTGGAAGACCCCAGTTGGGTCCTTGAAGGGTTGAAGAGACCAGTTGGGTTCTCGAAGGGTCGAAAGAGCCCAGTTGGGTCCCCCAAGGGTTTGAAGACCCATAGTTGGGTTTGAAGTCCCCGGTTGGGTCCCCCGAGGGTCGGAACCCCCTGGTTGGGTCCCCCGAGGGTGGGAAGCCCCCTTCGCTGAGCGCCGGCGTCCCGGCGGCGCAGATCCAGCAGTTCTCCAAGAAGGAGATCGAGGACCTGCTGCGCAAGGGCGCCTACGCCGCCATCATGGACGAGGACGACGAGGGCGCCAAGTTCTGCGAGGAGGACATCGACCAGATCCTGCTGCGCAGGACCACCACCATCACCATCGAGAGCGAGGGCAAGGGCTCCACCTTCGCCAAGGTAATTAATGGTTAATTAACTAACGAGGGACCACCACCATCACCATCGAGAGCGAGGGCAAGGGCTCCACCTTCGCCAAGGTAATTAATGGTTAATTAACTAATGAGGGACCACCACCATCACCATCGAGAGCGAGGGCAAGGGCTCCACCTTCGCCAAGGTAATGAGTTAATTAATGGTTAATTAACTAATGAGGGACCACCACCATCACCATCGAGAGCGAGGGCAAGGGATCCACCTTCGCCAAGGTAATTAACTGATTAATGGTTAATTAACTAACGAGGGACCACCACCATCACCATCGAGAGCGAGGGCAAGGGATCCACCTTCGCCAAGGTAATTAATGGTTAATGGTTAATTAACTAACGAGGGACCACCACCATCACCATCGAAGCGAGGGCAAAAGTGCTCGCACCGTCGGCCAGAGTAATTATGGTTCAATTAAAACGATGGGAGCCCACCAACCCTCAAACCAATCGAGAGCGAGGGCAAGGGCTCCACCTTCGCCAAGGTAATTAATGGTTAATTAACTAATGAGGGACCACCACCATCACCATCGAGAGCGAGGGCAAGGGATCCACCTTCGCCAAGGTAATTAATGGTTAATGGTTAATTAACTAACGAGGGACCACCACCATCACCATCGAGAGCGAGGGCAAGGGCTCCACCTTCGCCAAGGTAACGAGTTAATTAATGGTTAATTAACTAATGAGGGACCACCACCATCACCATCGAGAGCGAGGGCAAGGGCTCCACCTTCGCCAAGGTAATTAATTAATTAGGGGTTAATTAATTAACGAGAGACCACCACCATCACCACACCCTCTCCTTTTACGTGACCGCGCTCCTCGTGACCCTGACCACGCCCCTTTTAACCGTGACACGCCCCCTCTGACCCCGGCCACGCCCCCTTTCCGGCAGGCGAGCTTCGTGGCGTCGGAGAACCGCCCGGACATCGCACTGGACGACCCCAACTTCTGGCAGAAATGGGCCAAGAAGGCCGACCTGGACCTGGAGCTGCTCAACAGCAAGGTGGGGCCCGCCGGGGCGTGGCCTGGGCGTGGCTGGGGCGTGTCCCTGCTCTTCGGGCCACGCCCTAAAGCGGGCGCGTGTCCCGTCCCCCCTCCCCCCAGAACACTTTGGTGATCGACACGCCGCGGGTGCGGAAGCAGACGCGCCACTTCAGCACCCTGAGGGACGACGACCTGGTGGAGTTCTCCGACCTGGAGAGCGACGACGACCTGGAGCAGCGGCTGGAGCGCGGCGGCGGCGGCAACGCCCGCGGCACCCGCCGGCACCACCACCACCACCAGCCCCCCCCTCCCCAGCAGGGCACGGGGGGCCCCTACGGCCGCACCGACTGCTTCCGCGTCGAGAAGAGCCTCATGGTCTACGGGTGAGGGGAGGGTTGGGCGGCGCCTTCCGTTGAGCCGACGTTGGCCGTCGCGGGCCCCGTTGAGCGTCGCGTTGACCCCGTTGACCTCGTTGACCGTGTCGAGCCCCTCGTTGACCACCTTGAGCAACGTTGGCCCCGTTGACGCCCCGTTGACCCCCATTGCCCCCGTTGACCTTGTTGACCTCCCGTTGATCATGTTGACCCCCCCGTTGCTCCCATTGGTGGCGTTGATCCTCCGTTGACCCCCATTGCGTCCGTTCACCATGTTGACCCCCCCATTGCTCCTGGTGACCCCCCGTTGCCTCCATTGACCGTGTTGATCCCCCATTGACCTCTCATTGTCCCCGTTGACTGTGTTGACCCCTTGTTGACCCCCCATTGCCCCCGTCGACAGTGTTGAGTCTCCATTGCTCCTGTTGACCCCCTATTGCCCGCGTTGACCCTCCGTTGCCCCCATTGACAGTGTTGACCCTTCATTGCTCCTGTTGACCCCCCGTTGCCCCCGTTGACCATGTTGACCCCCCCATTGCTCCCATTGACCATGTTGACCCCCCCATTGCCCCCATTGACCATGTTGACCCCCCCATTGCTCCCATTGACCATGTTGACCCCCCCGTTGCCCCCGTTGACCATGTTGACCCCCCCATTGCCCCCGTTGACCACGTTGACCCCCCGTTGCCCCCGTTGACCGTGTTGACCCTCCATTGCTCCTGTTGACCTCCCGTTGCCCCCATTGCCCATGTTGACCCCCCGTTGCCCCCGTTGACCCCCCCGTTGCCCCCGTTGACCATGTTGACCCCCCTGTTGCCCCCGTTGACCTTGTTGACCCCCCGTTGACCCCCCCGTTGCCCCCGTTGAGCGTGTCCCCCCCCCCAGGTGGGGCCGCTGGCGGGAGATGGTGGCGCAGGGCCGGTTCAAGCGGCGGCTGTCGGAGCGGGACGTGGAGAGCATCTGCCGGGCCATCCTGCTCTTCTGCCTCCTGCACTTCCGCGGCGACGAGAGCGTGCGGGCCTTCGCCTGGGCCCTCGTCGCGCCCCCCGAGAACGGCCGCGCCCGCCCGCCCCACGCCCACGCCGGTGAGACCCCCGGGGGGTGGGGGGGGGGGTTCCAGCCCCGTTTCGGGGCCGTTTGGGCCGTTCCAACCCCGTTTTATTCCACTTCCCCCGTTTCTTTACTGTTTTATCCCGGTTTTTTACCTTTTTTTGGGTTTCTTTTTCTGTTTCTTTCATTTCTTCATCTTTTTCTGTCCTTTCTCCATTGTTTTTCTCCTTTTTCTACTGTTTTTTCCCTTTTTTCATCCTTTTTCTGCATTTTTTTTGCCGTTTTTCCCCGTTTCTTAATCCTTTTTCTACGATTTTGTTCCATTTTTGACGTTTTTCACTCTTTTCCTCCAATTTTTCACTCTTTTACCTCGTTTTTTTGTCTTCTTCCTGATTTCCTCTTTTCTCTTTATTTTCCCACATTTCCTCCCATTTTTCCTTATTTTTTTCCCCCATTTTTCCTTATTTTTTCCCCCCATTTTTCCTTATTTTTTTCCCCCATTTTTTCTTATTTTTCCCCAATTTTTCCTTATATTCCCCCCATTTTCCTTCCGTTTTCCCCTATTTTCCTCAATTTTCCCCCCGTTTTTCGCCCTTTTCCCCATTTTTCACTATTTTCCCCCATTTTTCTCTCATTTCCCCCCATTTTCCCATTTTCCTCACTTTCTTCACTATTTTCCCACTTTTTTCCTTGTTTTTCCTATTTTTCCCCCATTTTTCCCTCATTTTCCCTCTTTTTTCCTCATTTTCCCCTATTTTACTCTTTTTTCCCCCATTTTACTCATTTTTTCTCCATTTCTCTCCATTTTTTCCCTTTTTCCCCCGTTTTTTCCGTTTTCCATTTTTCCCCGTTCTTCCTTATTTTTTCCCCATTTCCCTCCATTTTTCCTCCCCTTTTTCACCTCATTTCCTCCCCTTTTCCCTCTGATTTTTCCCGTTTTTTCCCCCAATTTTCCCCCTTTTTTTTCCCTTTTTTTCTCTCTTTTTTCCGAATTTTTCCCCCGTTTTTTTTTTCCTCCGTGTTCTCCCACATTTTGGAATTTTCCCGTTATTTTTCCCCGTTTTCCCCCCATTCCCCCCGTTTTTGACCGTTTTCCCGCGTTTTCCCCCCGTTTCCCAGGCCCCTCCCCCGTCCCGATCCCGCGGGGCCGGAAGGGGAAGAAGCCGAAGCCCCTCCCCCCCCTGGACCCCCCCCAGGCCGAGTGGCTGCGGAGACACAACCCCGAGGGGCTGTTCCAGGACGAGGGCTACCGGAAACACCTCCGGCACCAGTGCAACAAGTGAGATTTGGGGCAAAAAACAGCGATTTTGGGCAAAAATTGAATTTGGGGCAAAAAAACCCCAATTTGGGCAAAACCCCCCCCAATTTGGGAGACACAACCCCGAGGGGCTGTTCCAGGACGAGGGCTACCGGAAACACCTCCGGCACCAGTGCAACAAGTGAGATTTGGGGCAAAAAACAGCGATTTTGGGCAAAAATTGAATTTGGGGCAAAAAAACCCCAATTTGGGCAAAACCCCCCCCAATTTGGGAGACACAACCCCGAGGGGCTGTTCCAGGACGAGGGCTACCGGAAACACCTCCGGCACCAGTGCAACAAGTGAGATCTGGGGCGAAAAACCCCCATTTTGGGCAAAAATCAAGAATTTAGGAAAAACCCGCAGTTTCGGGGAAAAAAGTCCTGAATTTGGGGGGCAAGTCCGCGAGATTCGAGAGGGAGACTTTGAGGTTTGGGGCGGGAGGTTTGAGATTTGGGGTTCCAGCCCTGAATTTGGGGCAAAACGTCCAAAATTTGGGGAAAAAACGTGGGTTTTTTGCAAAAATTCAAGATTTGGGAAAAAAACACGATTTTTGGGAAAAAAACAGTTGACTTTAGGGTGGCAGCCCTGAGGGGCTCTGCCAGGACAGGGGGGGTGGGAAACAGCTCTGGCACCAGTGCTCAAAGCGAGGTTTGGGGTGAAAAACAGCGATTTTGGGAAAAACACCATTTTGGGGTGGAAACGGTGGATTTTGGGATTTAAACCCCAAATCTGTGCTGAAAGTGGGTTTTGCAGCCTGAACCCTGAACTTGGGGTGGGAGTTGGTGAAGTTTGAGGGGGAACCTTTGAGACTTGGGGCAAAAAACCCACGATTTTGGGAAAAAACCCCAAAATTTGGGAAAAAACGGCGTTTTTTGGGGTGAAAAACCCAAAATCGGGGAAAAAAACCAACAACTGAGTTTGGAGTGAAACCGGTGGGGTTTGGGTCAAAACCCCCTGGATTTGGGGTGAAACCTGTGGGGGCCTGGGGGTGGAATTTCGGGGGTTTTTGGGGCCCCAAAGCTGGGGCGAAAAGCGCCGGTTTTGGGGCTGCGGCGCCGGTTTTTGGGGTGAATTCGGGGGGTTTTGGGGCCGCAGGGTGCTGCTGAGGGTGCGGATGCTCCACTTCCTGCACCACGACGTCGTCGGGGACGAGGCCCCCAAGGTGCTCGCGGGGACCCCCGCCAGGTGAGGGGGGTTTTGGGGGGATTTGGGGGGTTTTGGGGGTTTGGGGGGAATTTGGGGGATTTGGGGGGTTTGGGGGTTTCCAGACCCTTTTTGGGGGGATTTGGGGTTTTTTCAGACACTTTTTGGGGGGGTTTGGGGTTTTCCAGACCCTTTTTGGGGGATTTGGGGGGTTCCAGACACTTTTTGGGGAGATTTGGGGTTTTCCAGACACTTTTTGGGGAGATTTGGGATTTCCCAGACCCTTTTTGGGGGAATTTTTGGGGGATTTGGGGTTTTCCAGACCCTTTTTGGGGGGGTTTGGGGTTTCCCAGACAGTTTTTGGGGGGGTTTGGGGTTTTCCAGACACTTTTTTGGGGGGTTTGGGGTTTTCCAGACACTTTTTGGGGGGATTTTTGGGGGGTTTGGGGGTTTCCAGTCACTTTTTTGGGGGGATTTGGGGTTTTCCAGACGTTTTGGGGGGGATTTTGGGGGGATTTGGGTTTTTTCAGACACTTTTTGGGGAGATTTGGGATTTTCCAGACCCTTTTTGGGGGGATTTTTGGGGGATTTGGGGTTTTCCAGACACTTTTTGGGGGGATTTGGGTTTTTTCAGACACTTTTTGGGGAGATTTGGGGTTTTCCAGACCCTTTTTGGGGGGATTTGGGTTTTTCCAGACACTTTTTGGGGGGATTTGGGTTTTTCCAGACACTTTTTGGGGGGATTTGGGTTTTTCCAGACACTTTTTGGGGGGATTTGGGTTTTTTCAGACACTTTTTGGGGGGATTTGGGTTTTTCCAGACACTTTTTGGGGGGATTTTGGGGGAATTTGGGATTTTCCAGACCCTTTTTGGGGGGATTGGGGTTTCCCAGACCCTTTTTGGGGGGATTTGGGTTTTTTTCAGACACTTTTTGGGGAGATTTTGGATTTTCCAGACCCTTTTTGGGGGGATTTTGGTGGGTTTTGGGTTTTTCCAGACACATTTTTTTGGGGATTTGGTTTTTTCGACACCTTTGGGGGGATGGGAGGGGGATTTTGGGGGGACAATGAGGATGGGGATTGGATGGAGGGGAGGATGTGGATGGGGAGGGGGGGGGGGGGATGAGGGAGGGATGGGGGGGAGGGGATGGGGAGGGATGGGGGGGGGGAGGGCTGGGCGGGATTTGGGTGGGATTGGATAGGGATGGGGAGGAGGGATGGGAGAGTGGGGGATGGGATTTGGGGTTTCCACGACCCTTTTTGGGGGAATTTGCGGGGGGTTTTGGGGTTTCCAGACACTTTTGGGGGGATTTGGGGGGGTTTGGGTTTTCCAGACACTTTTTTGGGGGATTTTGGGGGATTTGAGATCCACCAGACCCTTTTTGGGGGGCTTTGGGATTTTTCCAGACCCTTTTTGGGGGGATTTTTGGGGAATTTGGGGTTTTTTTCAGACACTTTTTGGGGGGATTTTGGGGGAATTTGGGGTTCTCCAGACACTTTTTGGGGAGATTTGGGATTTTCCAGACCCTTTTTAGGGGGATTTTGGGGGGATTTGGGGTTTTCCAGACACTTTTTGGGGGGATTTGGGGTTTTCCAGACCCTTTTTGGGGGGATTTTTGGGGGATTTGGGGTTTTCCAGACACTTTTTGGAGGGATTTGGGGTTTTCCAGACCCTTTTTTTGGGGGTTTTAACCCAATTTGGGGTTTTTCCAGTGAAATCCGTGTGTGGGTGCCCCTGGTGGAGCAGCTGGAGGTGCCCTGACCCCATTTTTGGGGTTCTTAGCCCAATTTTGGGGTTTTTTAACCCGATTTTTTGGGTTTTTACCCAATTTTGGGGTTTTTTTAACCCTTTTTTTTGGTTTTAACCCAATTTTGGTTTTTTCCAGTGAAATCCGAGTCTGGGTGCCCCTGGTGGAGCAGCTGGAGGTGCCCTCGGCCTGGTGGGACCCCGAGGCCGACAAGTCGCTGCTCTTGGGGGTCTTCAAGCACGGTGAGGGGGGGCTGGGGGGGCTCGGGGGGGTTTGGGGGGGTTTGGGGAGGTCTGAGGTGGATTTGGGGGGGTTTGGGGGGATTTGGGGGCATTTGAGGGGCATTTGGGGAGGTCTGAGATGGGTTTGGGGGGATTTGGGGGGGTTTTGGGGAGGATTTGGGGGGATTTGAGGGGGATTTGAGGGAGATTTGGGGAGGTCTGAGGTGGGTTTGGGGGGAATTGAAGTGGATTTGGGGGGATTTGAGGGGGTTTTGGGGGGATTTGAGGTGGATTTGGGGGGTCCTGGGGGGATTGGGGGGGGGGTTGAGGTGGATTTGGGGGGTTTTGGGGGCACTTGTGGGGTTTTGGGGGGTTTTTGGGGGTCCTGGATCTGATTTTTGGGGTGTTTTGGGGCTGTTTTGGGTCCCCAGGCTATGAAAGGTACCACACGATGAGGGGGGTTTTTGGGGGGTCCTGGATCTGAATTTTGGGGTGTTTTTGGGCTGTTTTGGGTCCCCAGGCTACGAGAGGTACCACACGATGAGGGGGGTTTTGGGGGGTTTTTGGGGGGTCCGGATCTTATTTTTGGGGGGTTTGGGCTGTTTGGGTTCCCAGCTAAGAGAGGTACCACACGCTGAGTGGGTTTTGGGGGGTCCTGGATCTGATTTTTGGGGTGTTTTGGGGCTGTTTGGGGTCCCCCAGGCTACGAGAGGTACCACACGATGAGGGGGGTTTTGGGGGGTCCTGGATCTGATTTTTGGGGTGTTTTGGGGCTGTTTTGGGTCCCCCAGGCTACGAGAGGTACCACACGATGAGGG